ACAAGCAAAGTCCTGCACACACCGTGGGCAGAGCTGAGCAGGGCCAGGCCGCGGTGCTGGGGCCAGGGCAGAGGACCTTGGGCAGAACGCCAGCCCAGCCCAGCCTGGCGAGGGCCCCTCTCCATCTCTCCCCTCCTCTGCGACCCGGCTGTCCAGACTGCAAACTCATGCGGGCGTGCCATGGCCTGCACCGGCCTTGCCCCTGGCACCGGCCTCCAGGTGCCCTTGCCCAGCACAGCAGGGCCCCAAAGCAGGCAACTTTGGAAGTGCCCGCCATGGAAGGCAGGAACACGATGGCAGCCCCCACCCACCACGCCTGGGCCATGCGATGCTGGCACTGCTCTGGGACCCCCCAAGGTCCCCCACCTGCCTCCTTGGCCGTGAAGTGCTTTGGAGGCCTTGTCCCCCGCTGCAGCTCGGGGCTGGCGCCTGTCCCTACACCCTGTCCCTGTGGGACCTCACCTTCCTGTGACCCTTCTGGATGACCCGCATTCCCCTCATCCCGGAGTGCAGCGAGTGAGGCCGTGATGTCCATCCCTGTGCAGCCCCTGGAAGAGCTCCCAGGGAAGGAATAAGAGCTTCCTCTTCCTCCCCAGCTGATGCCCTGCCAGCTCCCGCACAGGGATGGACATCATGGCTCACTCCGTCCCCGTCTGTGCCACCTCACAGCCTCAGCACCTCCTGCTCCTGTGCCTGAGCCCTGCATCTGCCTCCTGAGGGATGGGACAAGGACGCAAGGCCCACCTGCCACCCCACAGGCGCTGCTCCCTGTGGCAGCTGGGCTGGCTGTAGATCCCTGAGGCTCCTCTGGGGACCAGAGGGTGCAGACGCCATGCTGTGTGAATGTTGCATCCCTGCTGCATGACACCACCTACTGACAATGGGACCCGGTGCCACCGTTGAAGTAACAGCGGCGCTGACCGCAGGCCGCTTGTCCACAGCGCTGCCTGCTGGCCATGTGCCCAGTTGGTGTTGTCTGCCTCCTCCAGGCTGCGTGTCCACCCACCCTTGTCCCCTGGGCTGTCTGGAGGCGGAGGAGGCGACCGCTGCAGCCCCAGCCCATCCAGCCGTGTGCCTCATCCACTGTGACCCTGCCCCCGCGGGCAGAGTCGGGCAGGTGGTGGAGGCATGGGTGCCCCAGACCACGGCCCAGGAAGCCGGCTCGGCCCCTGCCGTGATGCCTCCCTAGTCACTGTCCTTTGTGACTAACGTACATCCTGTAAGGGGTCTTTGAGATGACATTACGTGCACACACACACACCCAGTGCTGGGACTGAACCCAGGGCCTGCTGCTGAGCTACGTCTCCAGCCCTTTGTATTTTTTGAGACAGAATCTTGCTAAATTCCTTAGGCTGGGATTGAATTTGGGACCCTCCTGCCTCAGCCTCCCACAGAGCTGTTATTACTGTCATGTGCTACCAAGGCCGGGTGCCCCGCATGTGAGAGCTCCTGTCACAGCCCTCACCATGTCAGCCCTCCCACTTTCCTATCTGGGTTTCCAAACTCACAGCCCAGGACGTGTTGTGCCCACGGCCACCACAAGGAGCAGAGCGTGGGACCTGCCTGCCAGTGACTCCTGCATCCCTTCCTCAGGCTTCCACATTTCATAGATCTACTTGGGATCCTTGGTCCTAGAAACTCCGATCTACATGGTGAGTGTGGTCCCCAGTGCACAGCAGTCTGTCACACCACGCCTGGATCCTCCACGCAGTGCTCAGGAAGCTGAGGCAGGAGGATCACGCCAAGTTCAAGACCAGCATGGGAAACTGAGACTCAGCAAGACCATCTCCATACAAAACAGAAAAAGGCTGGGTGTGGCAGCGTACACCTGTGATCCCAGCACTGGAGGCAAAGCCAGGAGCACCTCGAGGTAGAGGCCAGCCTGGGCTGTGTGTTGAGCTCAAGGCGAGAGCCTGCCAGGAAGACGCCTCATGGCGCAGCCTTTTCCCCGGGCACCAGTTCCTGCACCCTGCTCTCCTCGTCCTTTGTGTGAGAAGCCTGGGCGCACCTAGCGCTCCGAACTTCCTCTCCAAACTCCTACTCTGTTACTACTGTTACTGTGGAGGCCCAGGACCTCCCTGGGACCCAGGCCTGCCCAGAGGTGCCGAGACCTGCCGGCTGAGGAGCCTCCTGGGAAGCGAGCCCCTGAGCGCTGATGCCGACACTCTTAGGTCCTGGGGAAGACGACCAGAGGGAGACACGGAAACGCGGGAGACCCTACCGGCCAGCGGCCCAGGGCCCAAGGAGAGAACCAGACGCGCGAGCACACTGGCAGCAACTTTATTCCTGGGTGCTGGCGAGCGGGGCGCAGCCGGCCTCTGTCCATGTCCTCCTCTGTGTCCCTGCCTCCTCCCAGGCCGAGACCCCGAGTCCCGGCCCTTCTCCAGGGTCGGGCTGCTGCCCTGCGGCTGGGGCAAGCGGATGCGGTGGGCCGGGAAGGGGCGCGGCTACCCCAGCGGC